TGAGTTTAAACTTTCGGAGGCTAATCAGGAACCGATTTGAAACCGTTTGAACACTGTGGAGCGGAAATTTCAAATTTTGCATCAGTCTAATGCTTATGTGGGGAGTAGCTCGCTGCGTGCAGGCAGCCTTTCGTTGTTTATTGGTGAACACAACGACTCACCATTGATGATTGAATAAACACCGTTTGGGGAGACCGGATGGAACTCAACTTTGAAATCTGTGTTAGGGAAATCGCTTTTCGCAGGCAATGGGTGATAACTTTAATTATCATAGCAACAGATGCACATTCGTGCAATTTTAGAGAGTGACATTTTGAAAAATTATAGTCTTAATTTTATCAGATTCGAAGAAAAATTTCCTATAGGTTGGCATATTAAGAATTAAAATCCATCATCTCTGGATCGAAATCAGACCACTTTCATGCCGCGACCAACGCGCTTGGCATAGATGGCCCACATCGACTCACGAAGAGCTACTGATTCCGATAAATAGTGGTGCGGCTTCTTCCTCTTTCTATGGATGCTCAAGCGGGCTGCAGCTCGCTGATTTCAGGCAGCATTTCGTTGTGTACTGGAGAACAATGTTCAACGCCACGCGCCGAAAGCACTGCTGCTGTTGCTGATGCAGACGTCCGAACTCCACCACACACGGTGATTGGAACTGAATTCGATCAGCGGTTGAAGGCAGCCTTGATAGCTAGCTGCTTGCGGGGAGCCTTTCGTTGTGTACTAGAGAACACCACCACTCACCACATGGTGATTGAATAAACACCGTTTGGTGAGACCGGATGGAATTCAACTTTGAAATCTGTGTTAGGGAATTCACTGTTCACGAGCAATCTGTGATAATGTCAACTACCAAGGCAACAGTTGCACATTCGTGCAATTTTCTTCTTCATTCCTGTATTTAACGTCGGACTCTGTTCCGCAATCTAGTGCCAATCACCGACGGACATCGATTTCCATCCATTGACGGCAATCGAATGTGCAGGAAGGCAGCTTCCACACCTGCGTAGGATATCACACCCATCCAAACACACATGGGCCGGACCAACGGCTTTACTTCCCTTCCGAAGGAAGACGTGACCAGAGATTTTTATGCCTCAGAAAAATCCCACCAACCTCGGCTGGGATTGAACCCAGACCCATTGGCGTGTTAGAAAGCAGTCACGCTTACCACTACACCACCGGCGCTGGCCTATTCGTACAATTTTCAACATTAACATTTTGAAAATGATAAAGTCTTAACCTTAACAGATGCGTAGAATTATCAATTGGTGACAAAATTAGTTAAAATGGTCCAGGGGTAGCTGAGTTATTAACGTTTAAAATCGTTCATAATTTTGTTACATGTTCCATTTTCGATTTTCACAAAGTGTACCCCCATATATAAATCACAGACGTAGTCCTACGTCAAAATTATATTTTGTATATGAAGTTAGCAGCGCCGATTTTTGTGGTGGTAAGCGGGATTGCCTATTACCATAAAGGGCCTGGGTTCAATCCCAGTCGGCGCCACCGGGATTTTCTGAGGCATAAAGGAAGTAAAGCCGTTGGTCTCCGGTTCATGAGTTGATGGGTTGATAGGAATGGTCCAGGTGTGGGAGCTGCCTCCCTGGCGTCGGTACCTTTGGTGCTGAGCGCGGAAAACAAATCAAAAAGTTAAGTTCCTCAAAATTTTACAACGATTCCTTTACTTTTAAGAAGTTCTTTGAGCTTCTACGACGATTTCTGAAATCTAGTGATGTCCTCTTAACTTTTACAAACTGCCCTTGACTTCTAATAGGGTCCCTGAATACTCAACTTCATGTATCTTAAAAACCCATATTGATCCACCGAGCAGCTGAACAGAACCTTTGTTACACAGCGGCGCCGGTGGTGTAGTGGTTAGCGTGATTACCTCTCACCCCAGCAGGCCTGGGTTCAATCCCAGTCGGAGCCGCCGGGATGTTCTGAGGCATAACATCTCTGATCACGCCTTCCTTCGGAAGGGAAGTAAAGCCGTTGGTCCCCGGTTCATGAGTTGATGAGTCGATAGGTAGGGTCCAGGTGTGGGAGCTGCCTTCCTGGCGTCGGTAGCATTGGTGCTCAGCACGGAAAACAAGATCAATGGAAAACAAACCAAAGGAAAAAAAAAAACGTTACACAGTTTAATCTATGGTATAATCTCGTTTTTGATATTATCCATAGATAGACGTGGCCTTAATGGACATTTTTTTTTAATTTAACAGGACCTGAATGTTTCAATCCAATTCGTGATGTGCCAGTTCTGATATCGGCTTTAAGAAAAAGGATGATGTATAGAGCAAGATTTAAAGTACCTGTATCCACTTATCAATATATTGATAAAAAAATAGGAGATATATTGTCAAAAATATTGATGACATAAATTTTAACTGCCTTTATTCTTGTAAAATTTCCGAATATTGAAGAAATTGAAATTGAATACGATTATTGTGAATATGTTGACCTGTGTAAAGTCCGTTTTAGATGTACAGTCCAAGGTTATGCTAATTGCTCAATTAACGGGCAAACACAGCGAGGGGATCGCGCTTTTTCTAAACAATCCAAATTTGCGAAGAATCTATTATCCGTCAAAATTGAGTAAACAAAATTGGGACTGACAAAATGAAGAATGAACAACATCGAACTGAATCCGAATGTTAATTTGTTTCTTGTCATTTACAACCTTCTTTGATCAATATTAGGTAGCCCTACTAATGGAATAAAGTATATATTACTTATATTTGGATTGTTTAGAAATAACGTGTGAGTAAAAAAAGCTCGCTGCATACGGCCAAAGAAACCAACCCAAATTAGAGTTAAGTTTTTTCAAGTTTGTCCAGGCTTTTCCAGGAAAAAATTCCCGAATATGAGAAAAGCAAAGATTGGATTTCCTCAGTTTATTGGTACTGTGATGTGATGTGAATGGAACCCACCATCAGTGCAAGGATTACCAATGTCTGCAGATACTTTACCGGTTGTAAAAAAAACTGCCTGATGGTTTGTTGCAGCAGGGTGAATCAGCTTCATTGAAGACCTTTGGAAGACAAAACGACCAGATCGCCATCTGTAATCACGTGACAAGGGACTGGCAAATCCACGAACTCTCGTCCAGTCAACAAATCCTTTGATTCCCGTAGGCTGTTGTAAATTTTCTCACCACAGAGTTCCTGCACTTTTGTCGTTTAAGAATAAACTGACCTCAAATTTGGGTTGAACTCATTGGCCGTGCAACAAATTCAAAGACAAAATCCAACTGGTATTTTTGGAATGCATTAGAAAGGTAGAAAACTCTTGGTATCGACACAGTACAAATGCGTACGATTTCTTCTTTAAATCATAACAACCAAACTAAACACAATGTCTTCCCCTGAAAAAAAAAAGAAAAAATGGGGTTATACGACATTATAGATCGGATAAGCTATCTCATAAAAAAATAGATTAAACGCGTCCATAGACCCACATACAGACATCAACAAATTTCATCTTACCGGGTTGATTTTTCATATTCAATTTGATTCTACGATGTCGTAATCAAACTGTCGAGTCAGATCGAGCAGAGATCTATCGGTTGGGAATGTTTTATACAGTAGAGATAGCTTGTGTGGATGGCTATCGGTCACAGACGGCAAGACGTGTGAAATCCGATTTTAATACCTTTGCTACGGTAGTAACAAAGGAAATAGAACTCCTTCCCCAGCCATCAAATTTTAAAAGTAGTAGAAAAGATATGAAATCATCTCGTCAGTCTTGTTGAATATTTTCGGTAAGTACTTATCTTTGGGCCCATTAACTCCCACTTTATGTCAGAGAAATCAAGTTTAATAAGTAAAAATGTGTTGCAATAACTCTGATTCTTTTACGTTACCCATGTGGAATATGATGCGGACATCATAAAAGTGACGCAAGTGGGAGGGGCGCAAATCTGACAGCTAGCCACCTGAACAGAAATCCTAAGCACGGCTTCGAACTCAACTAACTCTAACTAACTAACTAACTCTGTGCTCAGGGAGCATTTTTCAAGCCGAAAAATTCCTAGGTAAGACCGAGAATCGAACCCAGCGGCCTCCAGCATGGTTTTGCTTTATAGCTGCGCCTTTACCGACTGAGCTAAGAGAGGCCGCAACAAAGTTAAATGAGTATTCTAAATCAAGCTCATTGCTGGTCTCATTGAGAACCTGAAGATATTCCGGGAAGTTGTTCGAAATTTCACTTAGATAGTTAGAAGGGTAGTATGATTTTCCAATGTCGATGTACTGGGCAAACAAGCGAGCAGTTTAACGCTTAGCATCGGTCAATACACCGTGAATCAAAAAGCGGCCATATAGATTAACTCTGTCGATGGGTTATTACTGTTAACAAAGCAATAATAGCTCATATAAGGCTAGAAAAATCAACGAACGTTCCAAAACGCAATAAAATACTCGGCTGAATCAGGCAGAAATGTATGGAGTGCTTTATGATCGGTCGTTTCCCACTTGTCTCTATCGTGAGCTTTGTTTTGTCTTGTTTTTGTACTCTACCAGTCTGTTTATCGATGTTGGCTCAGGAACCGTATTTTACTTGCACCAAATAAGGCAAACAGAAGCTAAATGTATCAAGCATTTCATCCCAGTTCAGACAACCAACCATCAAAATTGGCGTAATTGATGCCTGTTTAAAAATAGCTCCGGGATAATTTTAGACATAACGATCAATAGAAAACCGCATTGGAAGAGGCCACCTTCCAAGCAGCTGATAAACAATGCAATTATAGATACCACCGCGTGCCAATCGTTATTCAATCGTTGCCGAACGGTTCGCTGATTTTTCCATGGCTTACACAAATGATCCGAAAGCGCCAAAGGAAACCGCGGCTAAACGTGCTAATTGAAACTTCACGAGTTTCCCCTTATTGTTGCGTCAAGAGGTTGGTGAGCGAACTATTTTGACTCAGTTAAGCAAGAACGCGTTATGTTGTCTGTGACCTTGAAACTACAGAAGCAACCGTCACTTACCGTATCAGTGAGAGCAGGTCCTTCTCGCGTACATTCAGCGAGTAGTTGGGTTTGGCAGCCATCTCGCAGAGCAGCTTCGGAAGGCACGCTTCCCGGAGGGAATTCTTCAGTTGTTCCTTGTGGGAGGCCAGGTCTACCGTCTGGCTGTTGGCGGCGGAGGCGGACAGTGTGCTGCTTACACCGCTGGTGTTGTCGCTTTCGCTACTGCTACTGCTTCTGCTGCTGCTGCTGCTACTGCTAGGGTAGGGCCGTGGAGCTAGCGGGGTTTCACTTTCGGTGGAGGCGATCTCTGTGATGGTTTGTTCCACGACGATTTGGGGAGGCGTCCGGAAATAAGTAAGAATAAAATTGATATGGGATTAGCTGTTTGACAATGTGCGTAGTAATGTCAGTAGAAATAGTAGATTAGATTTCCTTAGATTAGATGCTCGGTAAGCCTTGGAAAAATGCCCCTTTATTGCGTAGATACTCAGATGTACTGTCTTATTTGTGTATTTTTTAGAGGAGCGGAGCATTTGAAAAGCGACAACAAAGCGAAAAAAAATATCATATTTTTGAATCCACTCTCACTGAGATGTTTGAAACTTGCGTATTTGTTGTCATAGGTTATAGGATTAATATTTTTTTCCTAAAATTTGGCAATTTTTAATCTTTTTTTTAAACGTAGCAACATTCTTCAAGAATGCATTACAAATATAAGTCTCAACTGATTGAAATGCTTTGTCTCTTTCATTGACCACCCAGCATTGCCGCTAATGCAGTAGTTTGTATGCAGTGCTGAAAAATACTGCTTCTAAACATTAAGTCCGAGCGGTTGTTTGAATGAACAAATAGAAATTACTCAGCGATGCAAAACAAATCCCAAGACGGGCCACTTTTGGTGGTCCCTGTATGGGCTTCTTTTTGTTTTGAAGATGAGTCAGTATATCAGTTCGAATGTTAATCAAGTTTGTTTGAATATTTGCATAAGAGTCTTCCAGCAAGATTCGAAGGAGTGAAATGGGGAATCATTCGAATGTTAAGCATTTGTATACCTGCTGGTTCTGGTTTTCCCATACAACCAGAAGTCGTATAAAAATGTACAGACAGTATCGTAAATTGCTACAGTTTAAGTCAAAATCGCATATAAGAATGGCATACCTCGCATTATGTTTATTTTAAATCGTATAGAATGCAAATTACCAACCTATATGCGATTACTCATTTTTCCGTCGTACTGTATCACAAACTAAACCGGATTACAACGTAAGACTTTTCAAAATGAATTTATTATTACAGATTACATCATATACGATGTTTAAAATTAAATTAAAATATGCACGTTTATGGCCTCCACTTTTGTACGTTTAAGCCATTTATTTGCATTCTATACGAATTGCTTGTTTGTATATATGTTTGTATATCACGAAAACAATTCTGAATATACGTGCATTCTGGTTGTCTGGGTTGTGTTGGCTAATTACGAATTTCATTTAGGGTAGACTAAGAATTTAATTAAGGAAATAATTCGCCTATAACAGTAAGTTTTTGTCCAGGATTTTTAGAACCACAAAAAATACCCGTACACATGGAATAGACAACTTTATTAATAGATAGATTTCTGAAATCTTGGCTTGTGATTGCTAAATTATGTATTGATTTATCGGTATTGGTTTGGATTTTGTTTGTAAAGTCCGTATGACATTTGAACAAAACTATAGCCAAGATTGATTTGTAGTGACTGCAGCATTGTCACGTTGCATGGTAATCTAGTCGCATAGGAGTATTGATGATGATGATGATGATGATGATAATTGTCTATCACTCATTGTAGCACGGAAACTAAGTCCGATAGCAGTGGGTGCTCCTCACTGTTCGATTTGATCAAGCTTAATAACCTCTGATTGTCCTGATTGTTTGGTGGATCGATAGGTATATTCAGTAGACTGATGCAAATTTTGAAATTTTCGCTCCACAGTGTTTAAACGGTTCCAAATCGGGTCTTGATTAGCCTCCGAAAGTTTAAACTCATTTGATAATAAACTGACTTGGCACAAACCATTTGAAGGTTATATGGAAATCACTATGGGAAAACAAAACTTTTTGTTCATTGTTTTATAGCCTTTTTACATATTGTACTGTTAAAAAAATTCTATTGCTATTCTTATGGGAATTTTTATAAGTTACAACTTTGCAGAACATCATTTTTCAGCCAATCGTCAAATTAAATAGTTATTAATTGTTTAAGAGATTGATAATATTATGGTGAGATTAATCAACTTTATTGTAGGCTACACTGTATTCTGCAGTGTGACATAGTAGCCATGATTTTTTGTCTCTATTCTACGCGCCATAAACACCAATGTTGCCTGCTGAACAGTTGATTGAGCATAATCATAAGACATCAGTGACTTGAATCATTAATAATTTTTGTTTCTTACATTTGAACGAAAAATAGTCTCCAACAAAGTTGTAGTTGAGAAAATTTTCAACAAGCTCAGCAATCATTTTTCAAAGTAGAGTGAACTGGTGAATTTTGAGATAAGTATGAACCGAAATTATGGTTTCTCCATAGTAATTCAGATACAAACTTCAAATGGTTTGTACCAAGTCAGTTTTTCACCAAATGAGTTCAAATTTTGGGAGGCTAATCAGTGTCCAATTAGCAACCGTTTGAGCATTGTGGAGCAAAAATTTCAAATTTTGCATCAGTCTAATATTCACCTATACGCCTCCACGGGATGGTACAGAATCTTCTTCCAACATACAATTGTCATAAAACGAGCCGTCCAACAGAAGGGTACAAACAGGGAGTTGACAATGATACTCTCCCCATCCAAATTGCTTCAATCAGGTGCTTTGATGGTCCCTTCCAATCTCAGCATTGTTTTGTATATATGAGCAATAATAAAAAAAATTAAATGTAAAACGATCTCACCAACTTTCGCTGATTCTTCACCCTTCTGTCCAATATTCCAGCCTAATTGTAAACTCGTTGTCCATCTTTGCATCACTGCTAGTCACTACTAACCTCTCGAAAATCTCCCATGTTATTTCTGACATGCTTGGCATGCACAGTTGTACACACCAACAGCTCATTTGGTAACAACTTTTCACTCAGATGTTGAACTTTTTTTTCAATAAAGTAATTGATAGATTAGGCTCATAGTTTACTATATACATGCGAAGATTAGGTAAAGCTTAACATTTGAATCAACACTAATCAATTTAATACTTAAATTCCGAGATGTGTAGTGAGCATTACTCACCTCATTTTTACAACGCAAAAACAAATACAGTTTACTACTAGCATTGAAATCTACTTTTTTTTATATCTATAACAAGCTTACACTTTATTCTATCTACTGCTTCAAAAAGAACTATGTTCCGTCAACTATGTGCAAAGTTAGTATGCCAAGCATGATTTCTGATGTGTTCTACGATATTTCGACGTCCATTATTTTAGTATGATGATCTTGAGTTCCAAGTTGCGTCTTATAAAACCGTATCACCAATTCGGAAAATGGATAGTGTCTCTGGCAATTTTCTAAACGAGCATCACTCTATTTTCGTATCGCATGTGCTCCATTTTGCAGCTCTTCTTTCACTTTTACTTTGATGACTCCATGGTACCGGAAAAGATATAGATATATATGTACATTATTAGCAATGATGTGATATAACCACAACGGGATGGCCGTTCAGAATGGTTCTACGGAATTGAAATGAGGGAACATTTCAATTTATTAAGATTAAAGTATTTCAATGAAACATTACTTTTGTTCACTAACAATTAACACATTTTTCAATATGTTATCGTAACTAATTTCTGGAAGCATTTACTTGTGGACGGCAGAAAACAGAAGATGTCAAATTTTGTCAAAAAATACATGATTCGGCAAGCAATTTGCTCATGTGGAAAGCGGACACTCCATTCGTGACAACTGGGACAATCAATGGGCATTTATACTTTAAGGAATGCCTCCAAAAGCGTTTACTTTGACTTCTGAGGTCACACAATGGTCCTACAACAGACAAACAGACGAAACTCTTCATTGTGTATCTTCGTTCATGCATTTAACGGTTGATTTGAATATTATCAGTTCCGCGAACTACTCGCCGCAGCGCTGGCATCGGATCACTTTGACGTTTCTATATATTCTATAGAAATTTCATGCAATATTGTGTACGAGTTAGCGAACAAGCTTGTTTTCCGCGAGAAGCCAGCTAGATGTCGTTACTGAGGTTATATGTTTTGAAATACTATGTTTTCAAGAACAAGTTTTTCAAAGAGTTACGTCTGTTTGTCTGTGGTCCTACGCTTTTCTGGCCGGATTTAGCATCGTGACATTACTCGAAAGATGTTTTGGAGCGGCACAAGGCTAAGGAGGTCAATTTCGTGCCGAAGCCTCTCAACCCCCGAACACACGGGAACTGCAGCCAATTGAGAAGTACTGGGCCATCATGAAGCAGACACTTCAGAGACACCCTAAGGAAGTGAAATCAGAGGTAGATATGAAGAAAACATAGATTCCACACACAAAAAAGTTTGTCCAAGAATTGTACAAGATCTTATGAGAGAAAAGTACGTGCATTTGGATATGACAATTAAATTGAATAAAATGAACATGGGAAAAGCTGAATACTTTGTTTTCTTTTATTCCCTGAAAGTTTAAGGTTGATCGGTTGAATGGGTGAATTTGCCGAATCTTTTATTGTGATGCAATTTGATTCCGTACACCCTTTATGTTGTATAACCACCACACCACTTTAACATAGAAATGGCACCCTAATGACAAAATAAAATAGATATCGAATAGGTCTAATATTTTGTGATAAGGAACAAAACTACCAATCCCAAGTAACATTTTAAGTTTTATGAAATACTACAAAGCAACTATAAAACAACATTCAAGGCTATTTTGTCATTAATGCATCCACCAAAACCTCATTAAGATTTGAATATGTCTAGTTGGCCCACCCTGAAGAAGGTTCTGAAGGGTGTATTCTCGAAGCTCTTCAAGATTGGTTGTATGACGAACGCATTGAGAACCATTTGAAAGCTACAATAAAAGCTATTTAGCAACAATAAAAACCCTTTCCGAGCCATTTCCCCTAGCCGCATGCTGAATCCACTAGGAAAGCATCAATTAAGATAGAAAAGGATTTATGAATCCGGTCTTATCAAAATAATTCAAATATAAACTGATGGTATAAAAATCTTGTTGAATATCCAAATTTATTACAATAGTTCTTATTAAGTGGCCTAGTTTTAAGTGCCATATTAAATTTTATGTGAAATGTACGTGA